GTATTTTACAAGAAATATTTGAGCATCTTTTACGGTCATCGTGCAACAAATTCTTAAATATAATTCTCAGACACTGAGCATAAATGAAACAAATATCCCTCGTATGAGACAAAATCGACAGACCCTCTGAAATATAAGTGTACCTTTTTTTTAATCTACATAAGATTATAAACAATATAACCTCGCGCAAAGAACGTTCGAAAGATCATTTTTCGGTCGGTATGCATAAGGGTTGCAACTCTTTCGAGATCGAATCACATAAATTCGAGCGGGCTCTCAATTTCCCGAACGGTTTCGGGGGCTCATTGTATATTTCAATGAGCCGGGGAAGATTTATTAATGCGTGCAGCATCCTTTTTCCACGGTATTGCGTTAAATCTCCCCGCCGCGGTTCCTTCCCGTTATGCGTTTCGTATTCATAGTCTGAGCGAAAATTGCTCCAAGAGCGCGGTAAAGTTTACGCGAGCCATAAACAATGTTCAACCCAGTTTTTCGATCTGCATTTAAATATGGCAAACCTCTCTATCTTCCTCTTATCGTCGATATTTCCTTATTACCCTGATACGATCATGCCAACGTCGCCTCGGCACACCGATCGCGCTTAAAACGGCTCCGAACGACGTCGGGGAGTAAAATAATATTACCGACCGAGCAAGTACCGCTTAAAGATAAATCGTGCAACGAGAAATCCTGACCTGTCAAAATTATGTCAATATTTAAAATAGGGAAAGTTAGTCGTTCGATTATAAATTGATCGAAAAACATTTATCATTCGTGCGATAGTATTTCATGCAACATTTACAGAAAACAATATAAAATTGTTCTTTTCCATTAAAACATTAAAATAATTATATTATTTTATTATTATTATTATTTTTATTTTTATATTATTATTATTTTATTTTAGTCAAATATTGTATGCAGGTACAATTCTACGTTATTTTTATGAACGATTAATAAATAAATCGAACCTAAAAGTTGCAAGGATTAAGAAAAAGAATTAAACAATAAGAGAAACGAATCTAAATTAATTGAACTACGACTTCGAATTAAATATGCGCCCCTTCTGTTGGTAAATCAGGTGACTACCTGTTTCTGACCGGTTCTGCCACCTGTGTCAACGAGAGAAAGCCTGAAGCCCTGGCTTTTCGGCGAACTGCTGTACCCGCGCTGTCAAAATTATGATTATGCAAATAAAAAATAAACAATTGACTAATACAAATTTGTAACACGGAGGAGACGTTCGTTTAAGATTATTCGTCAAATTATTCGTCTTAATGCAGTTCCGATCGAGAGCTAAGTTTTCAGCGCTGTCTTGCTTCGAACCGAGCACATCGTTGCATTATGCTACGTAATCGTTTTATAAAATTACTGAAACACGATTGTTCTGTCCTCGTGCCCGCCCTGCAGTCCAGCTTCGGTACAAGTAATGTAATTAATAAGGAAAAATCCTGTGGACAGATTCCCGTGGCTGTTGTAAGTACACGGCGCTATTTTCGGTCTTTTCGTTGCATTTTTAATGCAACAAAATGACGTAACAAATTTATAACCTACTTGTTGTTCCCCTTGTCGATAGCAGATATTTATTATTAATTTATATTATATAATATTATTATATAATATTATATTTTATTATTTATAATATATTATATATATTATTATATATTATATTATTATATTATACCATTATATATTAATGATGGAAAACGTAGACTGCGCGTAGACCTTGTCGATAGCAGATATTTATTATTAATATATATTATATAATATTATTATATAATATTATATTTTATTATTTATAATATATTATATATATTATTATATATTATATTATTATATTATACCATTATATATTAATGGCGGAAAATGTAGACTGCGCGTAGACCTTTCGTTATTAATCCTTTAATCCTTAGAAGAACTATCGGGTCCTCTATGACCCTACAAAACTTCAAACGAATAATTATTGCATAAACATAGTATGTAATATTGCATAGTATGTAATGTTTATAATATTCCACAGCAAAATCGATTTTCACTGGCAAATACAACATTTAACTGACCGTCCAAGATTTCTTAATAGCGAGCGCTATTTTACTCGCGAAAGAAAAATTCCATTTTAATTGGATAATTTATCAATTTCTGCGATTATTATTTGAAAGAATATTTGTCAGTTTCCTGTTAATATAATACGGTCATTGAGTATCAATTTTCCCAACAGCGAGGTCCGGGTCTATTTTGATCCAAACTATCGAAATCATAATTGAATTGCTCTGATTTTAACGATGAAATTCAATGAATACAGTAAATTCTCCCTAATTGACGCTAAGATTGTGCACAAAAATCTACAATTTGAGAGGAGGATACACGATTATTCGATTATTTCTAGTTTTTACAGCTGTTGACAATCGGAAACTATAATAATATATAATATATTAATCGTATCTCCTCTTCTCAAATTGTCCATTTTTGCGCGAAATCTGAGCGCGAATTAGGGAGAAATTACTGTAATAGAAATTTCCAGTACATTAAATTCTCCCGAATTGATCCTCAGCTTATAAACAAAAATGGACAATTTGGGAAGAGGAGATACGATTATTCGAGCTTTGCAGCTCATTTTTATAGTTGTTAACAATTCGTAACTATAAAAAGGAGTCGCATATGAGTGTCAGTTAGGGAGACATTACTGTAGTTGTTGCGTTAGAAAGAACAGAAAGAGAACGACTTGTTTATAAAATTATGAACGTTCAAGATTTTCATATTGAACGTTTCGATCGTAGGTTATATGCGGTTGCGGCTATCTAGACGGTACCGAAATTTCAGAAACGATCTCCGCGGTGGTACATTTGTCCCAGAAAAACCTGAAGCCGATATTCTACGCTCCAGAAATAGATATTTGCGAAGTCGTAGATCATTGTACTAAAGAAATCGATTCGGAGAGTTCGCCTAGAAATGGATTTGTCGAAGCCGCCAGATTGGCTAGATCGGATATCAAACCGTTGTGCAAATGCGAATCTTGCAGACACGGTGGGCTCGTCATTCCCGGAGGCTTTGGTGCTGCTAAACTACTGTTAGTAAAAAATAAACAACTAATATGAATACTGGTTGATTAACACTACATTACTGGTGCGAGTCAATTTCACTCATTTATGATTTTATTGCTACATGTATAGAGAAACGTAAATAATTTTTTTTTAAACGTATGTTGGTTTTTAATAGAATTATGAAATGTATAGAACATATGTGTGTAAAACATATTAAAAAAAAAATTATTTAAGTTTTTCTATAGCAATATAGCAATAAAATCGTAAATGAGACAAACTCATAGAATGAGTACTATTATTATTAGTACTCTTATTATTAGTACAATTATTATTAGTACAATTATTATTAGTACTATTATTATTAGTACTATTATTATTAGTACAATTATTATTAGTACTATTATTATTAATATTATTAGTATTATTAGTATTATTATTATTAGATTGCGGATTTCATATTTGTGTGATAAAAGAGTGCGTAGATAAAATTTTAAAAAGTAGAAAAATTGAGACTTTCAGAATATCGATATATTGTTCTCTAATTTGTTTTATCGTATAATTGCGTTATTGTATTTAATAGTTTCTTGATTGCGTTTATAACAATAAGTATCGATAAATTATTTTACTTTATTTTATTGTATTTTTTTATATTGCATTTTTAATAGTTCCTTGATTGCATTTATAACAATACATATATAGTATTTATAACAATATTTTAAGGTCAATCTCGTATTTGATATTATTTTCAAGTACAATAATATCTCACTAATTGACGTTCAGATTTTGCACAAAAATGGACAATTTGGGAAGAGGAGATACGACTATTCGAGCTTCGGCGGTTAGTTTTTATAGTTACCGATTGTCAGCCATTATAAAAACGAGCTGCAAGGCTCGAATAATCGTATCTTCCGCTCCCAAATTGTCCCTTTTTCTGCACAATTCGGAGTCAATTAGGGAGACATCACTGTATACACCAGTACAGAGAAATCTAGAGAAAAGAGTTTCTCGAGCCTAATAACGAAGAAGGCTAGAAAAAGCGATTCTAAAATCATGATCTTGAACACCGATACATACATCCATCAGTATTTTCACATGTCGTACATCTTCCCAAGGAGCGACTTCGCGAAGAAAGGCGCCGATTGCACCGTGCATCCAGATCTGGAAAAAGTCATCGAAGATTTCTCTTGCGACAAGAAACCGATCGGCGCGATTTGCATGGCGAGCGTTCTCGTTGCCAGAGTGCTGCAAGGCGTTAAGATCACGCTCGGCAAGAAATGTGAGTTAACGAACGAGTAAACTCGGCATCGATATCCTTTAACCCTTTCGCTACGGGCGGGTTCTTCGCCGCGGTACTTCCGCCGAACTGAACAAGCTGCTTAAATGTTTTCGAACGGAAAAATTTTTCTTCAAGGGTATTTATAAGGGTATTTATAAATAAAGGGTATTCCAGGGTTATTTATGACGTCTTAGCATGCGCTCTTTAATTTACAGTATGAGAGGAAATAACATTATGCAATATAATGCATCTTATGGAGGGCCACTATAGTGGCCCGTAGTACCTCAGTGGCATCATATGGAAAGCCACTATAGTGGTCCATAATACCTCAGTGGTATCTTATGGAAGGCCACTATAGTGGCCCGTAGTACCTCAGTGGCCTTATATGGAAGGCCACTATAGTGTTCCGTAATACCTCAGTGACATCATATGGAAGGCCACTATAGTGGCCCGTAGTACCTCAGTGGCATCATATGGAGGGCCACTATAGTGACCCGTAGTAGCGAAAGGGTTAAAATCACACATCGTTCGCAAGTATTCGATTGTCGGCTAACGATCGTTCGATTAGCGCCGCCCGAAGAGTGGCCGTACGCGGACGCCATCGAGAAAGCTAAAAGCATGGGTGCCAAAGTCGAGTTGAAAGACGTGAGAGGAGTCAGCAGAGACAAAAAGAACAATGTCTACAGTACACCGGCTTGGATGTACAAATGCGCGACTTACGGGGACATTCACTGCGGTATCGGAAAGTTAATCGGCATGATGAAGAAAAGTATTTATTAGAATAGCTTTAACCGCGCCGCGATTCGATCGCTGGTCGTTTATGCGTTTGCAGAAACCGTGCAGCCACGCAATCGTTAAAATTACATTCCGTCTATTTACACGAAATCTTGTTATCCGAGTAGATTCGACTCTCCTTCCCTCTCCTACAAGCTCCATTGCGAATATTGGAATTCCTATAATTTATGGCTCGATCAAATCTGGAAAAACGAGCGAATAGAAATGTCAATAAAAACTAACAGAACCGTGGATATTTCTCAATTTAATGCAACTCTATTGATACAGGGGAAGTATCGCGTAACTCCAGATTCTCTGTGCGCGTATATTTATGCGAAGAAACGTTTTGCTGGAAGATTTACAATCTAATGACGACGCGTCGATTATTTTATATTTATGTACGCGTCAATCTGGTCTATATAAAAGTTCGTCGATTCTTAGATATGTACATGATGTCTCAAAATTACGGTATTTCCGGGAAATGCGGGGTTCCTGAGTTCATTTAAAGCAACTTTTTCCTCAGCGAGAATGCAATCAGTGGCGTAGTTTATGAGTTATTAACGAAAAACAGTGACCAATGAGAGGCGAGCGTGGCTGGCGCAGCACCGGTTGGCCGAGCCAACGATTGGACGAAGCGCAGTTCCGCTCATTGGCTCGGCCGCCTCGCGCCAACTGATCTCGCCTCTCATTGGTCAACGCTTTTCGTTAATAACTCGCGAACGGTGCCTCGTAGAACATTTTCGCTAAGGAAAAAGTTGCTTGAAATGACCTCAGCAATCCCTTACCTCCCGGAAACCCCATAATTTTGGGACACCCTGTAATCAAGGTTCCCTGTAATTTACTTGACGTATGCTTCACTTACCTGCACCGTGTGCGCAGCGTTACATTGTAATCGTAGGTAAAGATCGTTCGTGGTATCGAGGTTTATGGAAAAATAACTTTATTTTCGATAGTAAACTGTGCTCCACGCAGCGGCGGACACAATCTTCGATGCTGCCTTTGCTCGTAATCTCTACTCGAAACGCTTAAACTAACCAACAACAACTGTAACAACAATATATAGCCCCGGCTCTCTCTCTCTCTCTCTCTCAAACGAAGAGATCTCTCGGTCTCTCTCTGTGGTCCGATCGTCTCGTCACCTTTCGGAACGTTTCGAAGCGAAATGGGAGAACACATTTATAGGGTATTCGTGCAGAGAAGTCTGTGAAATATACGTATGTTTAATTTACATGAACAATAATGAACAGTGTGCTGCTAATAAACGTTGGGCCGATAAACGATAGTTGACAGTCTCGATGAATCTCGAGGAGGAATTGGACCGATCTTACGTTTACAGCCTACCAACTAGAGACGGGAATGAGGATCCACGAAGGGTAGAGTTACATGCTCAACGAATGAAGGGTTGGAACTGTTAGGCCGGTTCCGCTTTAGTTAAAACACTAAAGAAAACGCGAGACAGAGCGACGGCAATTTATTTACAACATCGGCACGCGAATGGACGCTCTGCGAAATTTCCTCCGAGCTGTGGCGAATTGTTATTCGCGTTTAATTAACAAATTACACAAATTACACGCGTGCTTATACTATTTATATATGTATGTATGTAACTATGTTGCATTTCATTATTGACGCTAGAACTACGTCGAAATGAGAAATGAGAATTTGCAGTTCCCAGTTTTAGGGTAAATTCATTTTTCTGGACGAATTTTGCGACGAGAAACAATCGTGCAGCGTCCGAATAATTGCGGATTTCTTATTCATTTAGAATAATTTAGTGCGATCAATCTTCGAATCCCGTAATTCCAGTGTCAACAAAATTGAAAGCTAGATAACAAATTATTGAATGCACTTATTTGTTACGTTCTTAACACTTCAGCTACCGAAAGCGCGTCAACCGTCGACCGCTTCTCGGAAATGCTAGCGCGAAACTAGGAATCCGTTCTCGCTTTTTCGCGTAATTTCGCAGAAATACAGCTTAAATAGAAACAGAAAAAAAAAAATATTTCGTAAACGAATGAGTTTTCATTTTGAGAAACGTTCGACGGTTGATCAGCTCTTCCTCTATCCGCAAAGAATTGGATCATTCTCTTTCAAACGATAACCGAAGAAAAGGTTGTTCGAACTGTTTTCATCGTAAACAATAATTTATTAGATCGCGAGCGATAGATTTCGTTTAATTAAATAATCACCATTTTGATTTTTGGAAGATCGAAAAATCTGTGATTTCGCGAGAACTGTTCGATAACCGAGGGTAGGTAAAGTGTTAATTTGACCGTTTATCATGAAAGTGATGCAAGTCCATTTTTTTATAAAAAAAAGAATGAGATATCGCACAGTTTGTGATTAATTTAGGGTATCCTTTTTATTTATAATTAGAAAGAAAATGAACTTGCAGCGCTTTCAAAGTAAACGATCCGATCCCAGGAAATATAAAATTCATCTTTATATCTCGGTGGGTCGCGCAAGTTTGTTTCCGCTTCGGGAGAATTTGCCGCTGTTATCGGGACGTGCGCGCGCGCGCGCGCGCCCTTTAGCAGCGCACGCCTTGGAACTCCGGTATCGTCGCGCACGAAACGATCACGTTAACGAGGAATCGCGTGCAGCAGGCGTGCGCAGCCTGCGAGACGGAGATTAACGTTAGTTTACGCTTGTGAGTCACTTGTGTCTGGCCAAGACTCGCTCTAGCATAACGAGAGTGCACACGCGATGCATTCGATCAATTTGAAATGTGTCCCTGAATATTGATTAACGAGTTTCTCATAATCTTCCGACATCGGGCCGGCGACGTTAAAATGCGATAATTAATCGATCGGTAACAACGATACTGAAACCTTTCCTTCTATGACTAGGAATTTCGATTCGGCGTAATCGATCGTTTCGAATCTTTCGTGCGATCGGTGTTCTCCAATTACTGTTAATTCTCCCAAATTGACGCTCGGATTTTACAGTAAATTCTTCCAAATTGGCGCTCAGATTTTACAGTTAATTTTCCCAAATTGACGCTCAGATTTTACAGTTAATTCTTCCAAATTGACGCTCAGATTTTACAGTAAATTCTCCCAAATTGACCTCAGATTTTACAGTAATTTCTCCCAAATCGACGCTCAGATTTTACAGTAAATTCTCCTAAATTGACGCTCAGATTTTGCAGTAATTTCTCCCAAATTGACGCTCAGATTTTACAGTAAATTCTCCCAAATCGACGCTCAGGGTTTACAGTAAATTCTTCCAAACTGACCCTCAGATTTTACAGTAAATTCTCCCAAATCGACGCTCAGATTTTACAGTAATTTCTCCTAAATTGACGCTCAGATTTTACAGTAAATTTGCCCAAACTGACGCTCAGATTTTACAGTTAATTTTCCCAAACTGACGCTCAGATTTTACAGTAATTTCTCCCAAATTGACGCTCAGATTTTGCAGTAATTTCTCCTAAATTGACGCACAGATTATACAGAAAAATGGATACCTCGTTTTAATAATTGTTGAAATCGGTGATTATAAAAATGAGCCGCGAGGCTGAAATAATTATATCTCCTCTTCTTAAATTGTCCACTTTTCTGCCCAATCCGAGCGTCAATTAGATATAGAATCTACTGTAATTGAAGAGCGTCCACCGTTTCTGTGACAATGTCCCATCCTATCTTAATCACCCGACATCCCCAGAATCCGAATACAATAAACTCTCCCTAATTGACGCTCAGATTATACAGAAAAATGGATATCTCGTTTTAATAATTGTTGACAATCGGCGACTATAAAAACGAGTCGCGAGGCTCGAAAAATCGTATCTCCTCTTCCAAAATTGTCCATTTTTCTGCACAATTTGACCATCAATTAGATCGAATCTACTGTAATTAAAGAGCGTCCAACGTTTCTGTGACAATATCCCATCCTATCTTAATCACCGTCCTCCCCAGAAGAATCCGATCACCATCGTCCAATCAAAGCTTGCTCCGCGATCTCCAATTCCATCTCGTCCAATCCGCTACCAAAGAAGAAAAGTTTACCGACCGCGTTACCAATTCCGAAAGATCGCGGAAAGATCGCAGAACGATCGTCGTATCTGCTCGATCGAACCCAGCCCGAAGATTTCGTCGGCGTTCGCAAACGCGCGGACAGGTTATCCGCGCGACGCGACGATTATCCGCGTCCGTCCGTTTCGCCCTCTCGCGTTCAGCTCCACCGATAATAGGACACGGCGCGACGCTTTCCAGACTTCGAAACTTCTGATCTTGTGGCCAGATTCCGCGTGTGTGGGAGAGATGATCCCGAGGTCCGCGTCCACACTACCACGCAACGCGAGTCCCGGTGGACGTTCAGCTGAGCGCCAGCAATGGCTCCACGCTCATGCGGGACCTCCTCGACTTGTCGTCCTCGTACTGCTTCATCTTCATCAGCTTCCACTTGCCTTTGCTCTGCTTTTTCCTCGGCACCTCCGTCGTCGTGGCCGCCTCCAGATTCTGCTGGCCCTCCTCCTCCAACATCTTCAGCGTCTCGATGATGTTCCTCGGCTCCGAGATCCGGCCGGTCTCGCTGCCGTTCTTGTTCGCGTACACCACCGACAAATGGGAGAAGCTCGACTTGGGCGGCGCGGTGATGTCGGCGAAGTCCCTGAAGTTCGCGAAGAAGTCGCCGCCGCGGATCGGTTGTGGTTTCGGGTTCCTGTAATAGTTGGCACGACCGCGGTAATAAGGATTGTAGGCGGAATCGTCGGCCGGGTACTCGTCGTTCTCCTTCTCTTCGGGGTAGTAGGTGCCGCCGCGGATCACGCCGAAGTTCCCGGAGCCTAGCAGAGGGTGCTGAGCGTCCTTCGCCGTCGACGAAGCCGGCTGGTAGCCGCTGCGATCGCGCTGGAAGTAGCCCAAGAACCTGTTCGGTCTGTACCGTTGCTCCGAGAACGACAGTCTGTGATTCGCGAACAGCTCGGCGAACGAAGGGAAGAAGTTCTGGCTCTCCGTTTCCAAGCTTTTGTTCTCGAGATCCGACGCTTCCGTTTGGCCGGCGTTCGCCGTGTTCTCCGCATTCTGGTCCGCGATGCTCTTCGCCGCGGTGCTGCTCGCTGGTTTCTCCTTGTTTTCGAGCAACTCCGCAGCTGTATCGCGCGATGCTTTCTCCTGGCTTTCTATTTGTTTCCTCTCGTTTTCTTCGTCTTTGTTCTCGTGGTCCGCGCCGTCTGGCTCCATGTAGATGTCCGAATCGTCGCCGTCGTCGTATTCGTCGTCGACGCTCGACGCGGCTGCTACCGAGTCCTGGAACAGAGGGGACATGTCGAACGATTAGAAACTACGGTGCTTGTTGATACAACGAATTATAGTAATGTCTCCCTAACTGACGCTCAGATTGCGTACAACAGGGGTGTCAAGTATCAGGACGTAAACAATAATTTAACTTTATATATGTTTATTACAATGTACTAGTCAAAATAAAAATATTTGTTTCTTCATTAGATAATCACCATTTTGATTTTTTGGAAGATCGAAAAGTCTGCGATTTCGTAGAAATACAGCTTAACACGTTCCGTGCCACGTGTATCATCGATGGTACACGCTTGCATGTTTACTTAGTGAACTGAACAAATTGTTTACAAGAAATTTAGAACCGAAGAATCAATTTCCACCGCAAGAATGGGCGTTGATAAGTTTTTGTTACGTTGTTATGTGTACGAGAATTAATAATTGCACGTAATACATCAAGTTTCAGTAAAATATCAAAGTGTGAAGATTCGAGTAAAAAAAGCTCGGCACGGAACGTGTTAAATAGAAATAGAGGAAAGAGTGAAATCGTATCACGAAATATTTCGTAAACGAATGAATTTTCATTTTGAGAAACGTTCGACGGTTGATCAGCTTTTTCTCTATCCGCAAAGAATTGGATCATTCTCTTTTAAACGATAACCGAAGAAAAAGTTGTTCGAACTGTTTTCATTGTAATTTTCGTCTGTTTTGGTTTTACATTGTAGTTGGACTTAATTGCGTTCCGTTCATAGTCTCATATTTTTTTCAAACTATACTGGAAGATATAAGATATAATTAAGATTGTAATTAAGATTAAGATATAATTGGAAGATATAAGTGTTTCAGAGGATTTTGCAACGCTATTTTTTACTCTATATGCTTTTCCTAAGGACATCTTTTTGGTACAGTTTTCCTATATTTCTAAAAGTCATAGTAATGTCATTTTTATATGTATCATTTTTTTATGCATCATTTTTCCGTTCATTCACAATAATTCGATCGTCCAGTGTACTTGAAAAATGATGTTCTCTTAGCAATCGCTTTTTGAACTGGTGAAATGATTCTTTCTTCGGAGAACCGTTTAATAACAATAGCAATTTGATCCCCGAGCCAATAATAATCAAAATTTGTATCATCCAGCAATTTCTTGGAATTTATTACGTACTTGAAAGAAGCGCTTTTCTGAAATAGCACAGCTCTTCAGGATCGTGATAATAAGTGAACCGCGTATCATTGTACAAAATAATAATGATTGGTATCAATTATAGCAGATCAGAATTAAATAAAAATTTCTTCTATCAGTAGCTCTAATGAATTACAAATAACGTAATTGATCTAATTAAGAATCCTATTGAAACTTGTAACTACGGTAAATTCTCCCCAATTGTCCCTCGGCTCGTGGACAAAAATGGACAATTCCGGAAGAGGAGATACTATCATTCGAGCCTTCCCTTTCTCCTCTTCCCAAATTGTCCAATCTTGTCCGCAATCTGAGCGCGAATTAAGGAGAAATTACCGTATTTCGCAATGATACCATTCTTACATCTCTTTGTAACTATGAATGCATCAAAATCATAAGTCTACCAATAAATCTCCGACAAATAAAGCATCGGCTCGAAGATATACAAGCTAATAAAACCGCTAACTAAACTAGAATCTCCGTGTGCACGACATAATAATAACAATTAACTCGGATAGATAAAGTCTAGCGCACAGCGTGAAATTCTTATATAATTGTAAATCCCGCGGATCTCCGACGACTATGAATAGAGCCGAACGAAACCGTCCGTGGTTTATCAGAGGCATCAGGATTGCGAAGGTTAAACAATAGTGGGCTTTCTAGACCGAAGAGATTGCTCTTCATTTTGTAACTACGGGCCGGCGCAATTTTTTTTCGTCATTTCAACGTTACCGTTTCTGTTTCTGTTTCCGTTTCGCCATCGACTTTCTCAGGTTTCTCGATGGTCACAATTTTGAAATAGTCCCGGCAACAGATGCGATTCCTTCAACGGGCTCGTTTCGAAACGGAGTCTGCGACATAGCTTGTTCCCAATTTTAAATGTTAGGTCAACCAGAAAGTGATTTCCATTTATCAAGCCCCGCACGATTCTCGGATGTAGTTCCACAAATTTTTGTGTTGCGACAAACGTGTTCGTTTCGCTGCTACGAAATGAAAATTTGTCGTCGAACGTGCTCGCGAACGTCGAACACTATGGAATAATTTTCGAATATAATCGAATATAGTCGACTAAATCGAAGTGCGCATCGCGTGCTCGATAAAACACGTGTACAGTAATGTCTCTCTAATTGACGCTGAGATTGCGCACGAAAATGGACAATTTGGGAAGAGGAGATGCGATTATTCGAGCTTTACAGTTTGTTTTTATAGTAACAAATAATATAATTATATATATTATATGATATAATTATATAAATAATAATATAACAAATAATATAATTATATAAATAATTATATAACAAATAATATATAATAATATAGTTAACGATTATAGAAACGAGTTGCAAGGCTCGAATAATCGTGTCTCCTCTTCCCAAATTGTCCATTTCTGTGGACAATCTGAGCGTCAGTAAGGGAGACATTACTGTACTTTCGTCTAAAAAAGAAATTGATCTAGAAAGTTAACGCTAGATTTACGGAGCACAAAAAGCAGCTGTTTTATATTAGTTTATAAAAGTAACAATGATTATTCAGATTTTATTCTGATTTTTAACAAGCGTTATTTTAACATTTGCCGTGTGTAACATGCAGCAGCGCGTTTTTATAGTTGTTAAATCATTGAAAAATTCTGCGGTGAAAATCTCTATGTGTTGAGATGAATAACTTAGATAATATAATTGAGATAATATATTGATAAATAACTTGTAGAGTAAGTGTTGGCATTACTGCGCTCCTTCGATGAATAAATTAATAAAATATTTGGGGTGTCCGCAGTAATACCCACACTTACCCTATTATAGTAATATCTCCCTAATTGTCGCCGAAATTATGCAAAAAAATAGACAGTTTGGGAAGAGGAGATACGATTATTCGAGCTTTGCAGCGCGTTTTTATGGTTGTTGACAATCGTATCTCCTCTTCCAAAATTGACCATTTTTGTGCACAATCTGAGCGTCAATTAGAGAAACATTACTATATTTCGAAGAAATAAAAATATAAGTATATGAATAGAAGTACCCGTTAACCCTANTATATATATTTTTTTAACTAACCCATGTGTACATAACTCGCTTCTTTGTTTGTAACGCATATAAACATCAAATATTTGATTAACTTGATATTTTTATATATATATATATATATATATATATATATATATATATATATATATATATATATATATATTATATCTAATAATTATCTGATTATATGTATATTATAATAATTGAGCCGTTTATTTTGAAAGTGGCATAAGTCACTTTACCGTAATAAAAAGTGGTGATATTTTAATGTTTATACGAAATTATTTATACTGAGAAAAATATCAGTATCCTGAGATAAAAATTACAAATAAATCTTCTCGAAAGTTAGCATCGATATTTTTAAACGTGTTAAAACGCAAACCCTTAAATATATCGACTTAAAAACAAAGTGACTTATGCCACTTTCAAAAAATAAACGGCTCAATGAAAAAATTAGCGATCCGTCATTTTGACGGGTTCCGTAAAGATCGATCGTTAAAGATCGAGTTTACGGCAAAACGGAATCCTAAGGAAAAGTTCGATTATCCGAACCCGACCGCACCGAGACCGTTCATTGTTCCGCAAGGCTTGTTAAACGACGCGCGGCGATAGAATAATGCGCGTGGACGTTCCTTTCGCGGAGCTCATTGACTGATCGCATAAAAGGCTAGGGGGGTCTACCTAGTAGGACAACTTCGCCGTGTCCTCGCCTTGACATTTAAGACATCTTCGTGTCGACGACCGGCTGCGAAACTCGTTATATGACTTCTATCATGCATATGACGCGCGCAACAGAGGCTGCTGCGCCTGTATCCATGCGGCGCGGTATTACGCGTGCACCGTTATCTGCTTAAGGAACGTGCACGTGCAGACGAGTGCAGCACTCGCGCGTCAATGTTAATGCAGGGGATAAACGTTGGATTCGGTTGCGACACGCCGGCAAACACGCCTAGCATTGTTACAAATACGTCGGGTCGGCGCGGACCGAGCTAGTCTATTCATCGAGAATTATATTGTTTTCCGACTAATTATTCGTTTTAGACAGCTGCTCGCTACATTTTGACACTTTAATCCAACGGCTTCGCTGCTATCGTCGAGGAACTTGCTTTAGTCGATTTCGAGCGTTTTATAAACGCGATATAGTTTGACAGGATAGTTGACGTAATGCTTTTATAGTATTGTCGTCGAAAGCAATATTATATTATTATTAATAATAATATTAATATTATTATTAATATATTATATTATTATTATATTATTATTATTATTAATATTATTATTAATAATATTAATATTATTAATTATATATATTATTAAAAGTAATATTACTAATTACGCTTTATGGTGCTCGATTGAAACTCCAAAATTTCAACTTCTGGAATAAATTAACTCTTTGGACTCGACTGGTGACTACGACTCGCCATTTAAAATTATTATACAATGTTTCAAAATCATTTTAATATCGTCAAATTGTCCCCAAAGACGAAACAAAGCATTCGAAAAATCTATAAAATATTTCCACCACTGAAAAACGTATCACCGATCTAAAGGTAACGAACAAATCGAAGTTAATCATCGTAGGAATAAACATACAGAGCTGCTTCCTTCGATAAAATTTGTATTGCAAATTACAAGTTACAAATTGCAAGTGGAACAGCGGACGTCTTGCAATCAAACGCACACGTGCTGTTGCGTATTCATTTCGTCCTTTGATCCTATAATCATTTGTAGTAGCGCGCATTTTTTTTTTCAGCCCACCCAAGAGTAACGACAGATTCGTATTTGGCATTCGATTATTGCTTATTTACAGGGAG